AATATACAAACTAGTCACCAGAGATCCCACGACATATTTGGAAAAAACAACTAAGTCCAAAATTCTCGATTCATCAATAAACGAGGATACAAAGAAGAAACTTATTCCGAGGGAAAAATCGAGTCGTTGCCCAAAATTCTACGGGCTCCCAAAGATCCATAAGGACGGGGTTCCCCTGCGTCCAATCGTAAGCGCCTTTAACTCACCATTATGCAAGCTGGAAAAACATCTGGCCAGTGCACTTCAGCCTATAGTGGAAAAGGCAGATTCCTATGTTAAAAACTCAGAACATTTCACTCAGATTTTAGGTTCTCTCAGGATGGACAAGGACGACATTATGGCAAGTTTCGATGTCAAATCCCTCTACCCGAGTATTCCAGTAGAAGAGGCACTCTTGCTTATAGAAGAAAACGAAGATCTTCCGCCATACATAATGGATCTGTCAAGACATTGCCTGAAAAACGCTTACTTTATGCACAACGGGAAAATTTACCGACAAATAGATGGAGCAGCAATGGGATCATCTCTCTCACCTGTGATTGCCAACCTCTTCATGATTTACTTCGAAAAGAAAGCAATAGAGAAGGCAAATCTGAAGCCAAAACTATGGACAAGATACGTTGATGACGTATTTGTTGTATGGCCTTTTGGCAAGGAGGAGCTTTTGAAATTCCTAGATCATCTGAATTCCATTCACCCAAGGATTCAATTTACAATAGAACTTGAAGAGGATAACAGTCTGCCCTTTTTAGATGTGCACATCACAAGGACCGAAGATGGACACTTGGAACACACTGTCTATAGAAAACCAACACACACTAATAGATATCTGAACGCTAAATCTCATCACCACCCATCACAGATACAGGCAGTGGCAAATACATTAATTGCTCGGTCCTTCAGGCTCACAAACGAGAGGAACAGAGATAAAGAACTGAAGAAAATTAGTACCTGTCTTCAACAAAACGGATACCAAAGGCGCACCATCAGCAAGGCAATCAGTAAACAACAACAGCCGCAGCAGAGAGTGCAGGACGAGACCCAACGAAGATCGATCGCTGTCCTGCCATACATCAAGGGGGTTACTGACAAAATCGGCCGAATATTACGGAAACACGACATATCAACGGCATACAAACCTGACCATACCATCGGAGCAATACTAAGAAACCCAAAACAAAAAATTACTCTGGAAAACCAAGGAGTATACAGTGTAGCATGCGGATCGTGCAGCCTGACGTATGTGGGACAGACCAACAGAAGGATTTCAGCCAGGCTCGAGGAACATCGTTTAGCCATAAGAAACAAACAAACAACATCTGCTTTGTTTCAGCACCAACATCAGACAGGCCATAAAATTGATTTCGGCACTTGCAAACAAATAGCTAATATTCCTGATTTTAGGACTAGGATTATACGAGAGGCCATCGAAATAGAAAAGTCCGGACACCTCAATACGAGAGACGACGCTCTGCATTTATCCAACACGTGGAGAACGATAATCAAACAGCAGAGCGATGCGCAGCAGCCAACGGGGACATCGCAACTACGATCGGGCGAAATTAACAACGCGACAATTCAGGGGGCGGAGCCACCTCCCCCCACGCACAAGCAGCACCGTTACCATCTCCGGCGCAGAGTATAAATACCTCACGCACCGCCGATAACCTCCCAGTGTTCGAAGTGTTTTCGGAGCGCGAGCATTGAAGATGCCAAGTGAGATTTTGGCGAAACGTCTGCAGGATTCCAGTCGGATGCAAGATTTGCAGGATTCCAGTCGGATGCAGGATTCCAGTCGGAGTTCAACGAGCGAACGGATGATATCCCGGAATATAGTGTCATCACATTTTTCCATCCGTGAATCAATACGTGAGAATATCATACACCTTTACGGGAAGGAGATCTTTACAGCCACCAAGTGTTATGAAAAACTAAGACAAAGGAGGGTTATTTCGCTGTGCAACTTGAATTTTCTTAAAAGCTGCCGCAACCAGAACTTGCTGCCAACATTTACAAGGTTGTCTTATCACACACGCACCAGAAAGACACAAGCTATCCTGGACAAAGCTAGCAAGGCCCTACTCCAAGACCAGATCAGGCGGACCCGGTACGAAATTAGTGAGACTGAGCTACAACTTTTCAGACTCCACCTGAAACTGAGCAACAAGATCCATCAGTTGCTGTGGGACCGCATAGAATTATTAACATCATGGCGCACTGAGAAAGACAAGGACATCACGTCAAAAAAAACTGTGGAAGAAATTAGAAATCCTTCAGTCAAATTCCAAAAAATCAGGACAAGTGCCAAATACAAACCGAAGCAGTACAGTTCATAATATTTCAGCATACCATCTTTCCGATACAGAAGTCAGCGTACTGAATAAAGGATTTAACTACGCAATAGCTCCAAAAAGAGTACCCGTCGAAGAGATCGTTTCCAACGTCGAAGCAAGTCTTTCCACCATAGACGAACAAGATGCGGAGTTAATTAGGCAAGATGTCGCCAGAGTCTTAAGACAGTCAAAACCACCGCAACCAAACTTAAGCAGAGAAGAAATGCAAGCCTTAAGGAATCTAAACAAAAACGAAAACATTCTAATAATGCCAGCAGACAAAGGAAATGCCACTGTCGTCATGAATACGTCGGATTATAATGCAAAATTGGAGGATATTTTGAACGACCCAATATACAAACTAGTCACCAGAGATCCCACGACATATTTGGAAAAAACAACTAAGTCCAAAATTCTCGATTCATCAATAAACGAGGATACAAAGAAGAAACTTATTCCGAGGGAAAAATCGAGTCGTTGCCCAAAATTCTACGGGCTCCCAAAGATCCATAAGGACGGGGTTCCCCTGCGTCCAATCGTAAGCGCCTTTAACTCACCATTATGCAAGCTGGAAAAACATCTGGCCAGTGCACTTCAGCCTATAGTGGAAAAGGCAGATTCCTATGTTAAAAACTCAGAACATTTCACTCAGATTTTAGGTTCTCTCAGGATGGACAAGGACGACATTATGGCAAGTTTCGATGTCAAATCCCTCTACCCGAGTATTCCAGTAGAAGAGGCACTCTTGCTTATAGAAGAAAACGAAGATCTTCCGCCATACATAATGGATCTGTCAAGACATTGCCTGAAAAACGCTTACTTTATGCACAACGGGAAAATTTACCGACAAATAGATGGAGCAGCAATGGGATCATCTCTCTCACCTGTGATTGCCAACCTCTTCATGATTTACTTCGAAAAGAAAGCAATAGAGAAGGCAAATCTGAAGCCAAAACTATGGACAAGATACGTTGATGACGTATTTGTTGTATGGCCTTTTGGCAAGGAGGAGCTTTTGAAATTCCTAGATCATCTGAATTCCATTCACCCAAGGATTCAATTTACAATAGAACTTGAAGAGGATAACAGTCTGCCCTTTTTAGATGTGCACATCACAAGGACCGAAGATGGACACTTGGAACACACTGTCTATAGAAAACCAACACACACTAATAGATATCTGAACGCTAAATCTCATCACCACCCATCACAGATACAGGCAGTGGCAAATACATTAATTGCTCGGTCCTTCAGGCTCACAAACGAGAGGAACAGAGATAAAGAACTGAAGAAAATTAGTACCTGTCTTCAACAAAACGGATACCAAAGGCGCACCATCAGCAAGGCAATCAGTAAACAACAACAGCCGCAGCAGAGAGTGCAGGACGAGACCCAACGAAGATCGATCGCTGTCCTGCCATACATCAAGGGGGTTACTGACAAAATCGGCCGAATATTACGGAAACACGACATATCAACGGCATACAAACCTGACCATACCATCGGAGCAATACTAAGAAACCCAAAACAAAAAATTACTCTGGAAAACCAAGGAGTATACAGTGTAGCATGCGGATCGTGCAGCCTGACGTATGTGGGACAGACCAACAGAAGGATTTCAGCCAGGCTCGAGGAACATCGTTTAGCCATAAGAAACAAACAAACAACATCTGCTTTGTTTCAGCACCAACATCAGACAGGCCATAAAATTGATTTCGGCACTTGCAAACAAATAGCTAATATTCCTGATTTTAGGACTAGGATTATACGAGAGGCCATCGAAATAGAAAAGTCCGGACACCTCAATACGAGAGACGACGCTCTGCATTTATCCAACACGTGGAGAACGATAATCAAACAGCAGAGCGATGCGCAGCAGCCAACGGGGACATCGCAACTACGATCGGGCGAAATTAACAACGCGACAATTCAGGGGGCGGAGCCACCTCCCCCCACGCACAAGCAGCACCGTTACCATCTCCGGCGCAGAGTATAAATACCTCACGCACCGCCGATAACCTCCCAGTGTTCGAAGTGTTTTCGGAGCGCGAGCATTGAAGATGCCAAGTGAGATTTTGGCGAAACGTCTGCAGGATTCCAGTCGGATGCAAGATTTGCAGGATTCCAGTCGGATGCAGGATTCCAGTCGGAGTTCAACGAGCGAACGGATGATATCCCGGAATATAGTGTCATCATATATATATATATATATATATATAAATACAATATATTCTTAATTAACATATCAAACTCTATAACAAACAAAAAAAACATACAATAATATCCTTAAAATATAATACATACATACATATATACATTTTAATTTCAGATTTTTAGTTAGTTAATTATGTATATATATAAAAATAAACAAGACTAATCAGATATTAAAATATTTGTATTACAATTTAATATTGATTTTTGGGTCCATTTTAAAAAGGAACTTTCACACGAAAATATGTCCTAAACGTCTTTTGACATACAGGGTCGTAAAGTTTGCAAAAATAAAACATATATTTTTTGAATGAAATCTTTATAATTATTTCTTATCATTCTAGTAAGCTGCGTCTGTAAAAATTATTAATTCTGTTGTCAAGGCGTCGTTTTTCGTTTTTCGTAACAAATCTCCCATTGGCGCAAATTATGACGGGTAAAGTTCCCGCCTTTTAGATGGTGGACGCGAACCAAGTCTGGGAGGTCCAGGAGGCCATTGACTGGATGAAGCAGCTCGCCAAGTTCAAGCCGCTGTGGATCGAGGAACCGACCAGTCCCGATGACGTCCTCGGCCACGCCCAGATCGCCAAAGCTTTGAAACCGCTCGGTATAGCGGTAGCCACTGGAGAAATGTGCTGCAACCGTGTACTGTTCAAGCAGTTCCTTCAGGCCGAGGCCCTCGAGTACTGTCAGATCGACTCGGCCAGGATCGGAGGCGTCAACGAGATCCTCAGCGTATACCTAATGGCGAAGAAATTAGGTGGTAAGTGAATTCCCGATTTCCTTCGGAAATAAATATTTATTTCCACCATCACCGTCGTCATTGAACCAAGCAAGTAGATTGAATTGCGCTGTTCCGCGCCCAGCGTTCGGCCGATAACGAAATTACAGTTTCCTAACTAACCAAAGTTTCGCCGCTCACCTACAGATGGCAGCCCATAAAGTGGCAACGTTTTATTTTTAAAGCATAATGCAGCGTTGCCGACGTATTGGGAGAAAGATCTCTCGGTCTCGCAACGAAGGAGGAAAATTGTCCCCTAATGGGACATAAAATTTTTGCTGGGTATTGAAAAAATAAAATTCGACGAGTAATTCAAATGATCGCTTACTCTAAAACCTCACAAAAGATAAAATAACAATAAAATAAAATAAAAATACAAAGCCGCTTATTATGTGATCAAGTCCTATCATGTATCAATATTAAATGAAAGAAATTATAATAAAACGAAAAACAGGAATGAAGGATCTTGGTGTGTAATTTTTGATTCCGGATTAAAATTTAATAAACATATAGACAGCATAACAAAAAACGGTTACAGGCTTTGCGGTTAGAAATTCTTCCGGTTTTCAAAATAAGGAAACGATGAATCTACTGTATAATGCATATGTTAGGAGTATTCTCGAATATTGTTCGATTATCGGGAGTTCGGATGATTCTGTATATAAAGTCGAATTAGAAAAGATTCATTAGAAATTTTTGAAGCACCTTTATTATAAGAAGTATGATATTTATTATTTTGATGTACCCTATCTCGCTTTGACTGAGGAGTTTGGTGCACACTTGAAAAAAGTAAGAAAATTGCTGAAGCAATATTTTGGAGAAATAAGTTTCTTCTGAAACCATGCAGTGCGCTGTAATAATCAATGACGTCACCGCGTCTTGACAGTCCCCGAAATAACGATTTCGATATGGATTTTTTCAAATATAATACAAAAATTGTAGGTCTTGATGCGCCCTATGACACCGTTTGAACCAATTAGCCATATTTTTTACGATTTTTGATTTGCGGCTAATAATTTATTTTTGACTATAATTTGAAAACCCTGTATATAATCGAAAAAATGCCCGAAATAAATGTTATTGCACTGGATCTTCTGCGTCTGCCGGTTAAAGAATTTTGCCAATCGGATGAACGATTATGGAGGAAAACATATTTTTTTGGAAGCTAAAATTACCAAAAAAAAAAAAATTCAAACATTTTTAAAAATTACTTGGTAAAATTGCATTGCCCCTAATTTCTACTGTTTAAATGTGGACACGGACTTTTACTTCTCTGCTAAATTTGAAGTTAATATCAGCAAATTTAGGACACCTAACACATTTCTCATTTAGCACGGAATATCGGGAACACCCTGTACAATAGGTGAAAACCTTAAATGTAAAAGTTTTTGCTGTCTATGCGGGCTATATAAATAAAGTGAGATCTGAATCATAGTCTTTCATTTCTTTAATTTATTAGTTTAGTACATAGTACACTATTTGCCTTTCGAATGTGTTCTCTTTTTTTTATTTGCTAACTATTGATTGATTGTAATCTGTTATACCAAATATCGTTTGGAACTAAAATGCATCATATTTTATTTCTTGAACACCCCGTATTTCGAAAAAATTTATGCAGTTTCGTCTTAAAATTAGGTGCGAGTTTTTCTCCCCCCTTTTGGCAGTGACGTTGGGTAACACTCTGTTTAATTTATATAATAAGTGAATAAAATATAATTGAATACTAATAATAATTATTATTATTATTAATTATCAAGATATAAGAATTAAAGCAGACAACATTTTTCTCGAGATGTTGAAACGGATCGAAATTTGATGATTTTTGGAGACTGTTGAACCCTTAATATACGAAAACTGTCGGAACGCGTGATAACTCAGCATTTTAGTAATTATGCGTAATTGGTTATCATCTGAAAACCTAAGTTTTTTGGCAGTCGCGCGTAATTAGTAAAAGTGTTAGTGATTTTGCATACCAACTGAGAATTATTTATGAGATACTCCGTTAACACTGATATGTTTTACATGAGTTACACGTAATACCGTAATAATAAAAAGTAGGTACGGGGTTGTTCATTATATTTTGACACCCACCTACAGGGTGAATTTTGCAAGTGTCAGAAAAAACAAACGACGATTGCAAGCTGTCAAAATGACGGCAGCATCATTTTTTTTCGCGATTTCTGAACATATTGTTTAAAAATGGTCAAGTTTGCCTTGATAGCAACCATATTATCTATGCTTGCAATTGTTTTAACAATGTTTTACCTTTGACAAGTAATTAAAACTAATGCGTATGTTAAATAACTGAAGATATTTCAAGTGGGTTATACTGAGGAAGAAAATAAAAATACCAATAATTATTTTAGTAATTATGCATAAAACATTTATCATTTTGCATATTTCATAGTTAGATTTTGGCTTCAGAAAATTTATGTTTTTAATTTTTTTTTGTTAGTATTGGTTAGTTAGTAAGCGTTAAATTAAAATTTATTGAAGAAATTAAAAAGCTTTGTTCAAATAAGAAGGTAAAGTCTGTTCATACCTATAAGAAAGTGACTAACTGATACGAATTAAGGAAAGACCCGCGCAAGCTATAAGAATGAAATATGTCCGAACAGGGCCGTACTTTGCTTAGAATTTAATTATTTGGGGTTTTGTTAGGAAAGATACTAAACAATATTTATTTATTTATGTATGTATTTATGTTTAAATCTAAAATAAAATTACAAATTATTTTTATTACCTACTTAAATTACTTAAAATTATTCACATAATATATCAGTATCACTATCGCTATCATCGCCTGTTCTAATTATTATTTGTTCTATATTATTTGCAATATGGATATACGATTGTTCTGCTTTTTCTATATTTTTAGCAAAATTTGCCCAACTTTGTGAAGGGATGTTAAAAACTTCGGTTTCTATAAGTTTGAGGACATTGGAGTTAACACGGGGAAAAACATTGTTACGACGAATGGCAGATTTCAGTTGGTGCCAAGCATGTTCAATGGGATTAAATATACAGTGGTAAGGTGGAAGCCTTAAAACTGTAAGCCCTAGATTTTTTGCATAATTATCACAGACGTATTCCTTTTGTAGGTTCAAGCTTTGTAGAACCTCAATTAAATGCTTTTTGGTATAATCTTCGTGAAAATAAATGTCGTTATTATTTGTAAGTGTCACATGAGGAGGGGATTTTAGTGAACTGTCTACTGTGATAACTTGCATTGCCCATTACAATTACGCTGTTAGGAGGAATGTTCGGAACTAGTTTGTTTATAAACCAACTTTCAAATAAATCAGGCGGTGGTGTCTTCATGGAAATCCAGAAAAGAATTTTTAATATTTTTCGCAGACAGAGAAAGTCCATTTGGAATCTACCATCTTGAGAGTCAGCATGCAAAATAGTTATTCTTTTACCTCTTTTCGATGGCGCGTTTGTTTTACACTTATCAGTTGAGTCAACCCAACCCTTTTCCGAGGTATCATAAGTGTCGAACCAGGTTTCATCCAAGTAAATAATTGGCCTTTGTTGTTCTCTGTAAATCCTATTTTTTTCTAGATATTCCAGTCGCCATTTTCAAATTCCAAAAGATTCCATTAAAACTTGCCTTTTGTCAATTTTTTTTAAATCTAAAACCCAGGTGTTGAATATACTTCCATAAGGCAGTTCTGCCACATTTAACACCGGTTTCATCTTTTTCAAGCCTCTTAATTAAGATATCTAATGTAGGCACGCTTTGTTCCTGTTCCTGTTGTTTATTCACAATTTTCCATACAGTTGATGTTGGAATTTTCATCAACGTTCAATGAGAGTCAAATAAACATTGTTTATAACTCCCTTAGTCTCAATAGAATAGTCTTTTCTACATTTGGGAGGGAGCATCTCCTGAGATACACTAGACTCGCACATATTTTGCATAATTCGCACACGATTCAACACACGCTGTATTATACACGAAATAAGAATGATTACTAATTAACTTAAACTAAGTAGTATACTAAACCAAAGAATATTAAACACAGGTACGTATAAAATTATTTTCTATTGCGGACCACAAGTCGACCTGACTTTAAATTCCGAAACTTTAGGTAATAATCTTGTTGCATTGTATGTTAATGGCCACTCATTCAAAAGCAATTGGTCACTTTCTTATATGTATGAACAGACCATACCTGATGTGCCATTTTCTGGGTATATAGATTGAGAAATTCGTTATACAGACTGGATTAATACATAGCAGAGTAGGGAGTTTTCACTGTAATTATTACCTCATATATAATTCCTAACATTCTCAGTTATTATGCATTATTGCGCTTTTTTTTATCGCTCCTTTGCTAATCCGCAGTAAAGGTGTGTCCACACGCGGGCGGAGTCGGCCTCTGCGAGATGGTGCAGCACCTGCAGATGTGGGACTTCGCCTCCTTGTCGGCGACTAGCGAGGGCAAAGTGATAGAGTTCGTGGACCAGCAACACGAGCACTTCGTCGACCCCTGTATCATCAAGAACGCGCACTATCTCGCGCCCAGGGTATGCTTTCGCGTCGATAGGTGGCGCGTCGGAAGTGACGTAATTCTTTTGCGCAGGCGCCCGGATACAGCACTACCATGAAGACGGAAGCGATAGAGAACTACGAGTACCCGAACGGCAAGGAATGGCAGCTGATGTTCTCCAAGGGGATCTTCCAGGACCCGACGAAGGTCCAGTAGGTTAATTGTAATCGCTAACTTGTATAGGAATCGAATAAAGGCCGATTTTGAATGGAATGCGTCTCATTTTTTTATTTCCCTTAGCCTGTATCACGCATCATTTATATTTAGGCGGGGCAATAATTTCTCATTGGCGTGGGAGATTATGATAGAGTAAAACCTGTCAATAAAGGCCTCCCTCCGAAAAATGAAGCAATACCGGTGGTTATTTTCAGCTTTTGCATCTCGCAAATGAAATCATTATTTTTTAAAGGAATTTTTCTTTATTTTAACGGAAAAAGACGTTTAATACAAAATTTGTATAATTTTCGTAACGATTTTTTGATATGTCTCTGCATTTTTGGTTCCTACAAATAGCAAATTAATGAGTTTTTAGCTTCGCGTGACGTCATTTAAAACGACGACCTGTCATATCTTTGTCGCATCATGTAACAAAACAATGTCGCATTCAAATAAGCGAGGTTAAGTTGTCGTTTGAGTTCCGACGCGCCGCGCCGTAACTGACAGGCCCGCTACACACGTCGGTGATTACTACACACGGTCGCGTCACGACGTTGACAGTCCATGTCCGGCCCGATGTATCGCACGGCCGCGTGCGGTTTGAAACGCAAAACGAACGCCCTCGCATACGTCACCGGGGCACTCTAGATAATTAAATCGGTAGAATCAAACGTCCCAGGGGCGCGTGTTTCAGATTTGGGACGCGCTAATCCTCGGTCGGCGCATCGAAAGGTGGCCCGAAAAAGACTCGGCCGTTTCGCGGGGGTATTAATTACGCGTACTAATCGGCCGACCGCCCACTGATCGCCACGTGCCCCCCTCCAACCCCTCGCCGTCTAAACGCTGAACAAATAAAGAGTGGCTATTTAATCAAGAGCAGATACTGTTTTTCTTTTGCGGAAACGACGATATACGATACGGGGCACCTGTGTTTGCCTTCGGGATACTCTTTCAATCCCGACCCCTAACCTCGTGCGGGTTAAATCTGCCGAAGATAATTCCCGTTTTTGTGCCGTTTCCACGGCCTACTGGTTTTCGGCTTGCTCGTGTACCGCGCGTTCAATTTATCTCGGCCACGCAAAATGTAGGGTTAGTGGTCACGTTTTTTTACAAAAAGTGCGTAAAACATAAGTTATAGCGTTAAAAATAGTTAAAAAAAAATACTTCGCGTTATTTTATTGCTCCTAATTTAAAGAGTCTAAATGCGGGTCCAGACTTCTACTTCTCTACCAAGTCTGAAGTCGGTAGCTGCAAATTTCGAGTACTTATTATGTTTTTTAATATTGCACGGAATATCGCGAACACTATTTAAAAACCGCAAATACAAAAGTTTAATCTGTCTATATGGGCTACATCATCATGTAAAAGAAACTGGCATCTAAAACACAGATTTGAAATTATCGCCGTGTGCCGCTCGTGTGTTACATCATTGTATTAAACGCATATATAATATACAGGGTGTTCCATTTAAAAAATGTGAAGTTGATATTGTTCTGTTTTATACGTCACTTGGAAAAAAACTTGGCTACTAACCCTACATTTTGATTTTTTATTTCCCTTGATAACTCTAAAAACAAAAAAAAATATCAAGATAAATTGAACGCACTTTACAATGGGTCCCAGATTCGCTCCTCTATACAGGGATCTCTGCTCCTATTATACGCACGGCAAAGATGAAATGGTCAAAGCTTTAAAGGAAAATTAGTAGGCCACGACTTATTTGTCACAATTTTTCCAGGAGGCTCCGACTTTGACGTTAAATAATTCCAAGCATCGAAGTTGTATTTTAATAAGTGTTAAAATCATAAATTTTACACTATTCAAGTCAGGAACTTCTTAAGCTAGCATTTAGAAGAAAGAATTATTTTTGGAAAGAAAGTTCCACAGGCTACCGTAATGCTATTTACAAATCTTCAGGGGTAAACTGACACTAGAAGCTAGAAGAAGATGAAACCAATATAAATATAACACCCGCCATAGAGTTGGAATCACACAGATTACGCAATTGGAGATTTAATTACCTTCATTTCATGTTCGTAAACTGGCCGCCAGGGGGCACAACCTCTACCGTAAAATAGAAAAAACGGGTTTTCTCGAAAATATTCAGAATTAATTTTGGCGTAATCTACTCTATATAACGAAACTTTTTTGTTTCAACAATTTTTTTCCATCTCGCCAATTTGGGGAAGGGTCAAATAATGGTAATAGGTTTTTTTGGTTAGTATTATACGAGCTTCAACTGGTTTGTCGATATCACGATATTATTTTTATTATTTTTTATTATTTTCTCGAAAATATTTTAAGCTAGGATGAAAGATGAAATTTATAGTAAAGTTTCGATACTACTTTTATTTTATTTTATATGTAAAACATAATTGAGAGAAAATTAGGTTAGAAAGAATTATTTAGGGAATACCTCAATAAATTGATGTCTGAGCTTGACGTGACGCCTTGAACTATATAAACTTATTTTAATTCAAACCAAACCTAACAATAAACAAAATCTAACAATAAAGAAAACCTAACACTAAACATAGTCAAATCATTAATGGTGTCCCAAATGTTCAAACTGGTGTCCATCATTCTCAAGGCAAAGCTACAGCCTTCTCTGTGTAGAAAAAGCATCAGTCTCTGCTTCAGCCATTGACATTCCTTCAATAATATGTAATTTATTAATAAATTATATTTACTATTCATTTGTTAAACATTATTGATTATTGGCGATTATTATGGACAAACTAGGACCAAATCATATTTAACTCTAGTAGAAAACAAAAGCATCTCACGTCACGTCTGTCCTCTCTGGACTATGCTACTGTTGAAAAATGTGTTTAATAAACACATTTTTATTTATATTTCACTACTTTCTGTGTTATTTTACGCTCTTTCTTCCTAGATAAAAATATTTATACCCTTATATTTGAATTTTTCGAGAAAATCATAAAAATAGCTGTTTTTAATAAATTTTACGCCCCCTAGCGGATATTTTATGAACTCGGAAATAACTTGACACAGACTATACTTACATTTGGATTCTTAGGAAGGGCAATGTCGCGGGTTTAACATATTTGTCGCCCAAAGAGCAAGTAGAAAAATAATCAAACCGGAGGATCGGTGACGTAAGCGAGGCGGCAAGCACCGTACAACAGCTTTGCGTATTATTTACCTTACCGATACGGTAAGTGCCAAAACTAGCTTTAAATATGTTTCTATAGATTTGTTGACTTTTCGCCCTACCCTACGTCCTATATCAACATTTTAAATACGCAATTCTCCTCCTGGAATAAAATAAAGACTTGGAAGCCGTAGCAACGTCCGACGATGACGACGTTGCCGGGAAGCCTTGCAAAAAGTAATCGATAAACACACGCCAGAGATTTCGAAAGTTCCACGATTGCAACGCAGGAAAGGAATGGACCGATTCGTGGAAAACTGAGCGAGCAAATTAACTGGGACGCTGGTTCTTCTCTTCTGGGGCAAAATTCTGGTTTGTTTTGGTTAGTTCTGGTTCGACGTCTGACGTTTCCAGTCAAATGTCTCACGTACGGGATCTGTTTTATCTAAGAAACGGTAGAACATATAAACAAAAACTTAAAGACAGGAATTTGTTTTTTAACAGCTTTCTTGTGCGCGGAAAAAACAAAATACTTGGTTGGAATAGGTTAGGTTAAGCTCAGTTTGAGCATAAGCAAGCTTCGCTTATACTCAAGACTATTAAATCAAAAAAGGCAAATTCTCAATATTTTAAGTTTTTTTTTAACATAATCAAATGCTTCGTTTGACTATTCCGAATTTTTAACTAAATAATCGTCGCTTCATTTTAAAATTTTTGAATATAGAAGTTTGTATTGAGCATTAACTTGCATTCTTCTTCTTCCACTGCTTCATTCTAGTGAAGGCTGGCAATCAACCTTTGGCATCACGTACATGGAACCAATCTCGAAGGTTTTTCAACAATGAAAATCTTTTTCTACCCATGCCGCGCCTGCCTTCTATCTTTCCTTCCATGATCATGATAAAAATGTGGCCAAAATAGGAGGCTTTCCTTCTCTTGACCGTGGCATTACCGTGATGCAAAATCCAGGAATTGTTTTCCCATAATTCCGGACGGTTTCTTCAAGGCAATACTCTTTATTGACCGTACGAAATTATAGTAAGAACTCTTGGTGTAATACGTCACGACAATCAAAGAAAACGGTAAGCAAAACCTGGACATTTGATGCTGAGTTCTTCCATACAGACGACTGGGCTTTGGTTTCGACGTCATAACCATATACCCATGATTGGATACCACTAACGAACTTTTTGAGCATAACAGGATCATCATTGACTTCGCTTAACAGCTCTCTTGTTCATTTTTCTCCATTCTTCAGCCACTTCTCTAATAGTGATTTTTCAACATCATTTGTTTCATTTTTTCAACGTTTTCATCAGTTATTCAAGCGAGGTTCGTCCGCAATCACACCTCAGCCACCATATTCACCGGATGTGGCCCTCTGTGACACCTTACTTTTTGAACACACCTCGTATGTTCGGAGAGTTTTTTCGCGCCTCGGTGCTGCGCTAGCGGGTCGACCGTTATTTTCCAGCACGGTTTTCACATTTCCGGGTTCTCAACAAACTCCAAATAAGTTTTCAAAATTTGACGATCTCGACGACCGAAGATCTCTATTTCAAATTAAACCCGAATTAAGCGTATTCAGGGTGGCATACGTGGTATTCCCATATATACGCTTCCTCTGTGAAATCGGATAGCCAGTTTGGGTGCCGGAGGTAGCGAGCAATATCGTAACGATCCCCATCATCCGTTCACCACCTGACACGATCGTTCATGCGGACGTCCCGTACCATATTATACGCGATATACGTTCCGCGTTATTTTCAACGCATTCTAAAACAACAAGCACGATTTTTTTCGCCCAAATGACTGACGGTTTCCTCTCGGTATTATTCAAATTCGACAAAATTAAGTGAGTTTCATTAAGGGTTATCATGCCTAAACTTTAAAGTTTTTTAAATAATAATAATAATAATAATAATAATAATAACAATAACAA